TTGCAAATGTTCCCAAAGCGATATCGATTGTCACACAGTTAGCACCCATCAGCTGCCTCCTTGACAAGTCACTCAGAGTCTTATCACAAGAAAAACCTCAGGAAGCAAGCTTTGAGCCAAAAAAAAACTAAGAAGGATTCTCACAACTGAGTAAGCTTCTGTTAGTTTTGTCCCCATTTCTATGACCAATGATAACTCCAGAGAAGTCATAAGATCTGTTTCATTTATATGAGCATAATGCTGCTAAGTTTTGTGGAGAAGCGTTAAAGCATGATTGATATAATTGGATAGATGAATGAGTTTATGAAACTTAAAGTACTGTGTTTAAACTATTTAAAGCAAACACTCCTAGCATAAAGAACAGAACACTGGAAATTTTCACATTAAGGACATACAAAAAATGCAAACAAACTAGCCACGGAACTAGCAAATAGGATGGCAGGTATGAGTTTGTGAATCAGTGACTTTAACCCATTTGATCCAATGATCTTATAGCCATTCTTGCCACTGTTTTTGTTTTTGCACATCTTTATGAGTACATCACAGATGTTAAAAACCAGTGTGCAAGTGATGCTTTAGATGAAGTAGCCATTCTCAGTAATCACCTATGATCAGCATTAAATAATATTTGCTCTTGGATGATATGATTAATCCATTTATTTTTACCTATTGATTGCTCATGAGCACTTTATTTAGGTAATGTGGTCAGTGAAAGAAAGGTAAAACTTTAATGGGTTCTCTTGTCATTGTATTATCTTTCTGGGTTACAGTTGCCATTATGTATGACAAATGTGCTTTTAAGTTTGTTCCTAAACTAGGATATCAGTACCATAGTAATGCGTGTTGAAAACATTCTGCTAGGCAGAATATCTGTGCTTGTCTTCTATTCTAGGGTTATATGATATTGCTGAAGAGATTTATCAGATTATTACTTGCCTTGGAAAGAAAAGAAATATTGCTGTGTGGAGAGATGCTATAAGGGTAGTTTCCAATCTAGTGTGCATGTGCTCACTGGCTTTGTCCTCAGCTGTGAAATACTGCCAAGAGCAGCCAGCAGGGGTAGCTGTCCATTGAGTGTGTAGCAAATATCAGAACAAAAAGCTCTGTTTGTGTGCTGCAAATATTAAGGGCTATTTGGAACTGAATGGAAAAGTCTGGATCTGTTATCTACAGAAAGATTCATCGCAGTTCTTGTCCTCCGTCTTACATTGTTTTCATGCAAATTCCCTGCAGTGGTCAATCCTTCAAAAAGCAAAGAAAATAAAAAAACATTGAATTCAGACATTGCTGCTCCCCTCTAGGCCAGCAGCCATACAATTGAATGGGCATATGACAGCAGGTAGATTTCTGAGAGTAGAAAGGAATCAAACTGAAGTCAGGTGTAGAATCAGAGCAACTTTATGAATGCAAAAGGCAGCTACTTAAAATTGTTATGTAATATTTTCTTCACAAGTTCTTCAATAATATTTCAGAAGTAATGAATTCTCTCTCAAAAAAAAAAGCACACAAAAAATCACAAACAAAAGCAAACAAAAAAAAACCAAAACCAACCAACCATACAAAAAAATTAAAAAAAAAAAAAAAAGGTTGGAATCAATTCTTGTTTAAAGAGATTAAAGTCAAGTAATATTGCATGAGAAGTTGCTTCAGCATGCTTTTGGTTTTTTGTTTGTTTTTTTTGCATATTGCTAACAGATATACAGCAATTTAGAATTTTCTTTTAATGGATCCTTAACCAGATTGCCCCTATTGGTGGATTTGCTATCAATAGTAGTTTCTGTGTTTTGAGCATTTTCTGAAAGTACTGAATTTTTATCTATTTATGAGCCCCAATACTGAATTAAATGATCCATTGAATTCTTCCAGCTGTTAGCCAGCCTCCTTTGAAGTCTAAATGCTATGAACTAATTATTCTCATTGTTGATGTTCATGAGTCCAGAAATCTGTTAACTGTACATGGCTCCCAGAAGCCAATATTTTAAGATATAAGCAGCACGGATGCTGGCCGTGTTCTTTTTCTATCATTAGGAACTAGTACTGCTGCAGTGAGCATCATGACAGGGCATTCATGAAACTTTTTGATTCTTTAGAAAAAAATTTCTACATATGTAAATTCTTCAGTCTTCCAAAGGGAAGACCCTAATTACTCAGTATGTGAGTGGGGTAACCTAGTAAGAATATAATGGTAGTCCATTAAATACATGTTTTATTAAAGGTCTTCGAAGGACTTACAGAAACAGAAACAAATTCCCATTTAAACTGGATGTAAAATTTTGCTTATTTTTGTTATGCACTTTTTGAAGTAAAAAGTTCTTACTTCTGAAAATAAACGTACTGCAATGGCTATGTTTGGAACAAAAGGCTCAGTAGGACTTAAGTTTGAGAAGTCATCTCATGTTATTTGGAAGCTTGTTTGAAACATGAGCAAGTATCTTTTCAAACTCACTTTTGCTTTCACTGTGTTTTTACCTAAGTAATTTTGCTTCCACTGCCATTTTGGCCATATTTTTGTCTACTTGCTCCTAACATGTATTACATTGTTTACTCCTCATTTTCCCATTTTCTGAATCCACGTCCCCCTTTGCTTTAATTTCTCACTACTGCAAAATCTAATATAGCCAAGTACTTGTTTTATTAATCTACTACTCTTCCTTGTGATGTCTGGACCACTTAGAGTTTTTCTGCACAGTTTAAAAAAAAAAAAAAAAAAACAGTTTTACCTTGTCTGATTTTCTCTTGGCTCCTACCTCTTGTCTTTTACAGTTTCCATTGAGGTAGAAAAGCTAAGCTAAGTTAAATATAAAGTATAGTGATGAAAATTAGGATCTCTTTAGTTACTGTGGTTATTTTCAGGGTCTATCCAATCCTTTTTAATCTTGAATCCTAAAATTTTGGCCAGAGATTACAGTCTGTTCATTCATATCTCCTGATTTTGAGCAGAATTCTCTGTGGATAAGTAAGGTGTCGTGTCCTGCCTGTAAGGGGAGGGAAGAGGTATCCAGGAAGTGCTTTTCATTGGTCCTTAAAGTAATGTTTTAGTTTGTTTTTCTTATAGCAAGCTTTATATAATTTATATAATATGCATTAATATACAATATAATATATAATATCCATTAATTCTTAGAAATCATTTTTTCTTCCATCTTCAAGTGTAGTAAGATTAATGCCTTTCATTATCATCCTTTGTTCTATCATTCTTGACTGGTAAAAAGGTCAAGTATTCCATGACGCTTTAACAAGTAAATGATCAAATCAGTGGTGATAAACTTGAGTGCAAGGAAAATCCTTCAGGTTCTGACATGTGTACCACAATGGAAGATGTCGTAAGAGTACCAAAGTTTCTCAGAGTTATGCTTCTAATTGTTAAGCCTCAACTGAAGATTTTGCAGGGCTTAATGAGCCTTAGGCAGCTGGAAAATTTTGGAGACCCCCAAGTGCTAAAGATCTGAAGGCAATGGTAGTGAATTACATTAATCTTTGCTAATGACAAATTAACTGTGATACTCTACATTAAAATAGTTTTAAGGGAAATTCTGAATAATAGAACACATCTTTTAAAAAAAATACTTTATGCTAAGAATATGCACTTTCAAACATACAATAAAAATTTTGTATTATTGAGTGAATAATATTGCAAAAATATGCAATTTCTCATGTTTAGGTCATAGTAATACTTACTGAGAAATGATTGTAAGCCTCCAAAATTAATAATCTATTAAATAACTGAAGGCAAATTAAATGCAAATGAAACTCATCAAATGAATGCATAATGCTCACTGCATTGAGGTTTCAAAACACATTTGCGATGCTGAGTAGAATAAAATCAAACTTACGTTTCAGGCACAGTGAATATGCAAATGTCATCATCTATTTCTTTTTACGCTCTCCTGGTTTTTGTTCTTTGTTTTGCAAATATGGTAATTGTAATGCAATTGTATTAAAATTGGGAGAAATAATCAAAATTCATTCAACAAACACATGCTTCTTCCAAAGATATTTTGCTCAAAAATGTATGAGGGATTTGCAGTTTATAAAGCTACTGGTTTTAAAGCTAATCATGCTGCTTTCATATATTCTACTGTAGCATGAATGACACTGGAAATATGGATGCATTAGTATGGGACTATGGGAAAAAAACCAACAACAACGTGTTGAGTGTACAACCTCTTTTTTTTTTTTTTTTTAAAATGAAACAGCTCAACTAGAAACTTTTGCTGGTAAAATAAATGCATATACTAAGGCTTTTACTGAAACTTTTGTAAATTGTTTCTCTGTATGTCCATTTTTATTTTTCCCCTTTCAGTATCCATTTCAAGAGTCCTCTTCAGTACTGTATTAAGTTTGTTCCAAGAACCAGTGTGCCTGGCCAACTGTTTTAATGCAATGCTAGATGGGACTTTGAAATTTGAATAATTGATACCGTCAGAAATTGTGGGTAAATCAAATGCTAATTACACCATACTAATGACTTGCTGGTCATCAGTCTACCTACTGTAACAAGACAAGTTCAAGACCAGCTAGATTGGTTCCCCTGTCCAAGTCCTATCATCTTACCAGTGATATCTTTGAACAAAAATTATTCTTTTCTAATGTCAGATTTATTGAGAGGAGTTTAGAGAAAAGGAAAAAAAAAAAAAGTTGATTGGCATTATTATTATGAACTACTTAATAATATTTGAGTATAAAGTATCAGCAGATGTAATCAGCCTCTTAGTAATTGTGAAATTCTCTTAATCAGTAGAGTTGTACTGCTGTGCCCAGGAGAACTTGGCAAAAATGTTTGTAGAAGTTGATGTGATTTTTTAATATATACTGACCATATTATTCAGAAGGTTTTTTTAATTATTATTTTATTATTTTTTAGTGGATGATTTTTTTTCTTTTTGACACAGATTACAGAAGGCACCAGAAATTCTTCATAAATTAGGTGTCTCCAGCGTTACACATGCACAGTGATATTTAGGCTTGCTTCTCTTTCAGAACAAATTTCTTCATCACTTCTTCTGCAGGTCTCACCCCTTTTTTAGTGAATAAATGAAAGGTTAGTGCTTTTTACAAATAATATAAATATACAAATTGAAGAGTTTTTTTTCTATCTAGTGTAAGTAATGAAACCTAAGAGGTTTCACTCCTGCCTATTTTTAATGTCACAGTTTTATTTCAAAATATGTTTTTAAGGAATTATGTAAAATGGTCTAGGTTGAGTACGTAGTTGTAATTTCAATTTGGTAAAATTCTGTTTCATATGTAGGTGAATCCATAACATGTCACTGCCAGATTAGTCAATATATTATTCATTTTTGCAATCCTGAAGCTGAAGCTCAAACCAATAACATTTAAGATTCCTACATAGACAAAGTTGTGCATTGGTTTGATTTTGAAATTTCAAGTCCTGTTGAGTAGATATGCTGATGTACACGAAACTGTCAAACTTTGATCACATTGGTTAATCCAATTTAAAGATTTTAATTTTTTTGTATAACCCTTAGCTGGACATAACCACTGGTGATGGTTTCAGAGATACAGAGTGATTGCATATTTGGGAGAAATGCTGTATGTGAGCATTTGCAGTGATTAGCATTTAAATAGCCTATGTTAACCTAAACAATACACAGGGTTTTGGATGACATTTTTTGCAGGACTTTGATTCCAAGGATTTTTACAGTATGATAGGTACATGATCCAAACAGACATATTATGGAGATATGTTTGCCCTCAGTTGAAAATAGGTCTCAAGCAAAGGATGATAAGCAAAACTGCATCCAGCACAGAAACAGCAGAATATAACAAGTAGCTGAAAAGCACTTAAAACTCACTCGTCTGGTATGTGCAAATACTATATTGTGACATTCGTCAAGAAATCTCATCATCCCAAAACTCTTCTGGTTTTCAGCAGCCCGTTTGAAGAAGTTCACTCCTGTTAGGACAAAATTTAATAGACCAGTGCAGTTCTAGCTGCACCAGTACAAATGGAAGAGTATCTATACCTGTCCCAAATTCTGGGTTCCTCGTTCTATGAACATCATACATTTGCTTACAAGTATATGTTGGAATAGCTCATTAATGTTAGTGTTTCACATACAACTGGGAAAGAGCTTTCTGGATTAGAGATTAGCAAAAAGTTGCATATTTTGCTTTATTGCTGGAGCAATAAAACCTCTCATATTTTTTTAAATAAATAAATAATCCTGGGCACAGTTTTATAAAATTGTCCAGAAATATACATGACGTGATGTAAATGAATCAAGATCTGGGGGAAGGGGGGGAAGAAAGAAAAAAGAAAAAAGATCCAGGGAATATCAGAGGCAAGAATAAAAAATGCTTACTTCTGTGGTACTGAGGTGCAGGGATCTGGAAGCAAAGGGCTGGAGGAGTGTCATTGCCTAGAGCTGAGAAGGGGTAAATTGAGAGGTAAAATGCAACTTGTGTGTGGCACTTCTGTAACAAACACAGGCTGCCTTGGGTTGTGTGAAAACAGTCTTACATATTTGGTTCAGTCTGTTCTTGAGGACATTTTTTATGTCATCTGCTGAGTGGATTTGGGTTTTTTTTTTGCCTTTTAAAATTTTTGCTAAAATTAAAAACAAATAATAACTATTTATGTTTTTCTGAATCTAGCTTTGAGTGCTTTGCAAGGAATGGAGTAAACACACATGAGAGGAACCCAATTGAGGGAAATGTACTTACAAGATTTGTCTTAAAAGCTTTAACATTCTATTTTTCTAAGGAGAAAACTAAGTGCCAGATTTTTCTAGTTGTATTTTTCATCTGCTTAGCTGCTTAGAAATATTTGTTCTCTTAATAATTGGACCAGAATGGATTCGTCAAAATGTTTAAGACTGTCTGCAAGTTCTATTTAATGTTCTGTCACATGCAAAATGCTTACTATAAGGAAAGAGACAGACTTTTTACAGAGCCTGACAGTGATGGGACAAGGGACAATGATTTTAAACTAAAAGAGGGGAAATTTAGATTAAGTGTCAGGGAGAATTTTTTCACTCAGTGAGCAGTGAAGCATTGGAACACATTACCCAGAGAGGTGTGGATACCCCAACCTTGGAGGTGTTCAGAGCCAGTTTGGATGGGGCTCCGGGCAGCCTAATCTAGTCCCTGTTCTAGTGTCTGGCAACCCTGCCCACAGTAGGGGATTGTAGATCAATGATCTTTAAATTCTCTTCCTATTCAAGACGTTCTATGATGCGTGGAACAAAGCAGTACAGTCATAAGCTTGACCTAGCCTTCATAATGCAATAAGGGAAATGCTGTGAATAATAATGTTGAGTGTTATTATGCTGTTGTTATTAATGTCTTTAGATACACTCTGAAGTGATCTGCATCTGAGAACATCTCTCGTTTAGTGTGCTGCTAGTGTTTTGTGTGAAATTACTGCATGGTGTTAAGGCACTATACTGCCTATTAAAATGTTCTCTACATACCTGTCAGTTCTTCATCTGACCATAAAGTACCATCAGTAAAAAGGTTCTTCACTGTTCCTTTCCCATTCAGTATCATCTGTGAAGAGATGGTGTGTGCAGAAGTGTGTACGCACAGTACCTTGGCATCTGTGTGGGGCATGACAATCATACAGATGGTTGTTCACACTTCAATTCCTTAGTATAAACTGATTGCAATATTATAAAATATGCCTACCATCTTCAGTAGAAAACCAGTCTTTCATATACTGATAACTTGCTAAGAGATAGTATATGGCATGTATTCATATAAAAGTTAGACTTCATCATCATTTATAATTCATTTGAATTCCTCTTAAACTCTGCTTGAAGCATCTTCTAGGTGTTTATATTGCAAAAAGATGAAACATATAGATGTATGTTGCTGCCTAATAAATCTCTTCCATCTGTTTCACTTGCAGAGACAGAGTACCCTGACCTTGGGGAAAGGCTCTAACCTAGTGTTTTTATAGAGATGAGGAAGCAGCTTTGACAAGTGGAATTTAAGCCCTGGATGGTCCTGGACTATCTAGCCATTGCTTAATCTTCTTAACATGGTAAGACAAATCCCATTCTTCCTTTTATATTAACATATTTCAATTCTGTTACAATTTTTAACTCTTAAGCAGAGCTTAGATAAAAATGCCAGGTGAGCACACATGTTAGTAAAAGAGAAAAAGAACCCAGCTCAGCAAGTTCAAAAGTTTCAGGCAGCTTATTTTGAATATCTGTGAGTAAGGAAAAATTAGGGTGTTGAGCAAGCCCACATAACTACTGCAGAGACAATGTAATAAGGAATATAAGATGAGAATTAATTGGTATTAACAGCAAAGTACATTTATTTTAGGTAGAACTTGATGTCAAGAGAAGATTCCTAAAAAGGTATAGACTTAAAAACAACCACTTCTGAATGTTACCTGTATCATCAGCAAGTTACGTAGTTTTGGGAGCAGAATACCCAGTTAAGTGTTTGACTTTTGTGAGGTGACTGTGTGTTGCTATAGTCTTTTACAATGAAGAGAGTGACTGGGAGATAGTCATTTTGAAAAATATTTCTGGTAATGCAGCTCTCTTCCTTCCCTCATCTCTCCACTCCTTTCTTTTCTCTCTCTCCCCCTTGTTGTTACTCTGTATTTGAATAAATTCTCAGGCAGTGACTATTATAGCTGTCAACTTCTGACTTTGTTTCTTGAGTAAAGAATTATTTTCTTCTATAAAACAAACAAAATCTCCTTTTTGTCCCAAATTCAATATTTGCGATATTTTGGGTGGAAATTCCCCCCGTGAGTAATATACCATAAACAGTCCAAATTCTGCTCAGTTTTTTTTGTTTTGTTTTGTTTTGAAAAAACTTCCCGTGTCTCACCAGCTCTAAAGTTTACATTCCCGTGTGAATGAAGTTATCATAAATGAAACTACTGCTATAGCTACAAAGAGCAAGAACAGAAGTTCTTTCATGCTTCAGTTACTCATTGAAGGCAACTTATATGGCTGTGTAACTTCTCCCTGGAAAAGAGAGGATTAGAATGGTGGTAAAGACAAGGCAGCATATTTTATTACTTAATATAATACAAGGATGAAGGTGTTCCAAGTAAAATAAACATTCAGCATATTTGAAACCAACAAAAGGAATTTTTTTTTTTTTTTCATAAATGCATAATTAAACTTAGGAACTTTCTGTCTAAAAGGGTAATAAAGATCTGAAAGGTGAACAGGCTTAAATGGGTTCTGATTAGTTCATGCAGTAATAAATTTTGTGAATTTTCAAGTATATTCAATCTTCATCTACTAAAATCTCTGCCTCAGGAGTCCACTAAGTTTGTCTGACAGGATATACTGTTTTCATTTTTCTTGTTTCCTATAGTATTTCCCAACAGTGGACCTCTGTTCAAACAATATATGAATGTTATGATCTTAAGACGTTTGCAAATAAGGTTAATTTTAGTACTGTAAATGACTTCTTGCTGCAGTGTGATATGGATTTATTAGCATTTGTTTGTACTCTCATCTTCTGAAACGCACCTGCAAGATATCTATACTAAAATGTGTTGTGCCTTAAAAGAACTGATGGTACACGTGTTTTCTCAATACATTCATCCATGTGAGCTTTGCAGTATTTTTTGGCAGTCACGGGTGATAGAGTAAGGACATAACTGCAAGTGCAAATATAGACCCTGGGTTTTGTTACTCTTCAACTATTATTTGCTGGTTTGTTGTTGTTTTTCCATGAAATTTGTTTCTGGTGTTATAGTTGTGTTTGTCATCTTGAACAATTAACTCCAGATCGATTCTATGTTAATTAAAATTAAAAACAGAAAATGATTGCACAGAACTGCTCTCTTCCTGCTGGGACTATCATTCCTCTTCCAGTGTTCTGCAGGTCAGTCCCTCAGAAGGAGATGAAATTTACTCCTTATGTGCAACAAGGTATTTCTTTTCCAGTGAAGGAGGAATCAAAATGTTTTGACAGAATGTGCGCTGCTAGTGATGTTTGGAGCATAAATATAGTGTAGCCTGTGTTTTATTCTATTTGGCTATTAACTTTAAGGTCACTTAATTATTTCAAGGTTGTGATGTTTTGTTCTTTGCTTTTATTATGCATAATAGGTGTTGTATAAGCAACATATACCAAAAGTTTGTGGAAATGTGTCTATAGCACTGGTTTTCCTGTCAAAAGGAGTCTCAGTGAATGAAGGAAAAAAAAAAAAAAAAAAGAACAGCAGAGGGAGAGGAAGAGGAAATAAGTTCCCTTAATTTTGAAACTGGCTGAGAGATAAAATGCATCCTCAGCAAATTCTACAACTGTTCTTTTTTTTTTTTTTTTTTGTAAGAAGGGGATAAATGTATTTCAGAAATACATGATGCACTTACAAAATCATTCCTGTTCCTTAAAACTTATGCGTTCTACTTTGGCCTACATTTTACACAGTTGGCATGCCTTCTTCCATAGCAAAAAGACTTGAAAGCCAAGAATGGTGCAGCTGGTCCTTGGCTAGCTGATTGCTAGGAGACATTGTAATTAAAGTCTTCTTCATTATGTGTTACTTGTCTTTAGAAAGGATCAGATGCTAGGCTTGAATATTCAGAACCAAGGAAATCATCAGCAAACAATGGGCAGGGAATACAAGTTCTTAGGAGAATGGCCTGTTTTTAAGATAAATAATGGGGGGCAGAAATAGTGTTCTGGAAAACTTGGACTTTGCTTTGGATTTGCAATAGTTTGGGCACTCTGCCTCTAACTGTAGACTCAGATCTTGGAATTTCTGCCAATCATCTGCTGTCTGATGTGATATCATCCACTCATAATTTTTGCCAAGTCCCGCAGGATTCTTTGTTTTACTCTATGCACCATGATTTAAGCCAGATTAAAAAGCATCCATGAGAAATAAAACATAAAAAGAAAATCCTTAATACTGTGAAGTATGCACTGGGGTCTTCTAGGTCCCAGCACATTTTGGCTTGATGCAAACGGCCAAAGAGCTAATGGATGTGACTTGAGATTGAGTCTGGTGATACCTATGTAGGGTAACTTCCCTGAAACACTGTAGTTCCATTGATAGATTAAATGAAATGTTGCACTGACACAAAAAGAGTATTTTGCAATGTTGCAACTGTAATATTTTAATCTGGGATAAATCTCATTGAAATTGGCTTATAATTTAAATTTCCCAGTGGGAATGTAAAAAATGTTGACTATAGTCTAGCATAGTGTCCTGAAAATACATGCCTTGGTATTATCTTTATTGAAGAGCTAGAATCTTGGAGTTTGAGATTTAAATAAATACATAAAATCTGTTAATTCAAATAAATACTCTTTCCCCCTGCAAGTACCTTGTAGGCTACTCACACCGGCTCAAACTTAGATTTGTGTGGAAACTGCTGTTGTCTTCTGAAGGTACAAACCATTGATTTATGTGGCCAAAAGAAACCTTTTTTTCATAACCTAGTCATTGGGGGTGAGCAGCTGTCAATAAAATATTTCACTGTTTGCTGGAGAGGTTTTACAAAGTCTTCTCTCCTGCATAGTTTACATTTCAAATACTTCTGTTAGTGCAGATCTGTGTGCTTGGCCCATCGATTTCTTTTTGAGGGTCCCCAACAATGCCTAAGAAACACAGGTATTTCTGCATGTACATATTTTGTTCTTCTCTGGGTCTATTCAATCTCAGGTATTTCTTAGTTCTGACGTATTTGGAAAACTTATAGATAGAAGATAGGCCAGTTAGATCACACAATGTATCTCTCAGGACATCTGGAAGAAGTAGTAACTTTACTGTAAACATATATTTCTTGAGATATCATTTTGTCTTTTGCTGAGAAATCCAGTGAGCCTAGCTCAATACAGAAACAGATGTTGATATTTTTATGGTGTTTGTAATGGAATATTTTACGTTTATTTTATAAATAATGAATGTGTGATCACAGTCTCAGAAATATTTCAGTACCTGTTCTGTAGCTCAATAAAATGAAAGCTGCAGTGTTTTTATCTTATTTAAAGTGATATATCCAGAGATCCATGAAAACCAATCTGATAGAATCTTTACAATTTTGTTAACAGTTGTGACACTGTGCTAGTGGATTGGAGGAAGAAAATAGTTATATTTTTCATGTATTCAGATAGTTCTAGATTCTCAGAACTAGAACATGCTTTTCTTTTTCTTCTTGAAAATGTTTGCACATTTGAGAATGTGTGTTTGTCAAAGTCTTAGACATATTTAGCTTGCTCCTGGTGTTTCTAAGCTGAGGCCAACAAGAATGAGCAAGGACTTGAGAATCAGATTCTGATTCAAGACCCTATGGTGTAAAATTATGCTCAGACTTGCTGTATTTTAAGAACAGAGTATGACTTTATTATTATACTGAATACAATTTGGTATGCTAAAACAAGCAAAGAAGAAAAACAAAACAAAATAACAACAGCCACAAAAACCATCCTCTTCATTAAAAAGAAAATCCACAGAAGAAATCCTGTTGGCACTTTAGGTACAGTCTCTAACTGAAAAATGCTTTTATGTACAGATTCATACCACCAGCTTTCTGTCCAGCAGGTGACTTTCTACATTAAAAGGTTTGTAGAAGTGGAGATTGTAATAGAATGAACAACCTTGATAAAACACTTTGATTCTTATCTTTGAAAATTTTTCCCTATTACATTTGCTTTTGCTGCTGCTGCTGCAGTTAAGCAGATACCAATGTTCCCACAGTAAACTTCTTTTACAGGGTTTTATGACTTCATGGGGAAAAAAAAAAAAAAAAGCTTTTGCCTGAAATACAGCAGATTTTTTTTTTTTTTTTTTTTTTTTTTTTTTTCTTTAACTCTTTGTTCAGTTAAATAGGGAAAGTTAACTTGGAAAAAAAACCCAAACATTTATTGTAAATGAGAGACCAATCTTCAGCCAAGTAATATCAGCATAGATTAATAAAAATGACAGTATTTAAAAAAACCAATTTTGTTTTCACAGTTAAGGTTGTTTGTTTGATTACCCTTTTTGCATTGCACTTTGCTTAGACAGGGAAAATCGATGAAGTTAGTTTCAGTGTGCTGGTAATCATTTTC